AAGTTGTAAATAATCAATGAAATAATGAAATATTAAGTCTCTTTATATCATGCATGGCTATTTAAAGAAAACAACCACTCTACTTAATATTCCAGGTAATCTGGAGTTGACTGTGCTTCTGATAACAGTTCCAATTGACCTCAGAAATCAATCACAGCAATTCTGCCTCAGCCTCCCAGGTACCGGGAATACAAGAATGTGACATCACACACAGCATTATTGTGTTTTTAAATGATGCAGAAAGATTGTTACCCAAGGCCCTAAAGCATAAAGCAAATTCACAGGTCACAGGGGGTAGGCAAGGTTCAGGATAATAGTGGGGGAAGTAGATAGAATAGTAAGGTATAAAAGGTGAAGGCTCTGGCAAGGCAGAGCAGCAGCTCAGCTTTGGTAATTGCTACTAAAGTGGGAATGCGCTAACAGAATTGACAGATCATTAATTAATTAATCCTTGACAAGTTCATATGTGAATATATTGACCATATTTGCCCTCATTTACTTTCTCCCCCTGCCCTCTAATTGAACCTTTCTTCCTTCCGACTGATCCTCCTTCAGTGAATTATTAGCTAAAATATAATGAATTAAAATGCACATTCCAATGTGTTTAAACTGTTGTTTGACAAACATGGCTAGAGCTCACTCCAGCCTCTCTCAAAGAGCTTTCGACTTCTGCTCTAAGATCTTCAGCCATACCTTTGCAGCAGCAAGGCTTCTTGTTGAGCTCTGCTCACTGTACAGTGAGCAATTTCATTGCACAATCATGTATTCATCCATCTGAAACATTTCCACACACACATACTCATAGTAGTATTGCACAGGTGGACTCAAAATTCACAGTGATCTTCCAGTGAAGAAGCTTGACCTTAGTAATTGTGATGATGTTTAAGAGGAGTCTGAGTCCATTATTGTAATGGAGTGTGGAATCTCATCCTTCAGAAAGACCCTCTGAGAACAGCAATAGTTTATGGTAAAAAGCGTTAAACACATTTCTTAATGTGAGCTATTTATTCTCACACATTATTTAAAAACATGCTAAGAATTCGTGTTATATTTTATGATAGCTGCTTACATAGAGTAGTAAAAATCTTATTCATTTTCAAAAGCACTAAAAAAATAACAAAGAAAATCAGCCAACCTTTACTTAAGTTGGTCCCACACAGTGGTAAGTATCTAGTGAAAATGGCCTGAGAAGATACTAGGAGTGGATTGAATGCTGGATGGTGTGTGTGTGTGTGCATGTGCCCACGGGATGTGTGTTTTGTAGATGTGTGTATGCATGTGTGTGCTAATGTGCTTGCCTATATGCACACATGTAGAGGTGGAGGTTCACTTTGTGGATCGTCCCCTAGAACACACTCCATTTTTTTTTTTTTATTCCTGACATGGCCGCTCTATTTGGCAATTACTCAGGTGTTGTTTTCTGCAGTGAGAGTGAGAGTTTCTTTGGAGCACATGACAGATGAATAAAACAAGTTAACCCTTATGTTGAAGAATTAAATCATGATAGTGTATATAATTGTATTAAAAATGATTCCCAAAACATTGAAATATCTTAGCTCTATTCACTTGTTACACATTACCAAAACAGATCATAAATTGTCAGCATCCTATTCTTTCTTAGCTCTCAACTTCACATTGCTCATTTGAGATGCCAATATCTGTGTTCCTATACAGAGCTGCATTTCCACTAGTCCCCAACAAGTATTTCATTTGTGGAGGTTTCACAGGGTTACTGATGAAGCCTTTCTAATGAAGTGCTATTAAGAGTACCGAGTATGTTTATTGACAGAATATTAAGCAAGATGCCCAATGAAGTTTGCTATCTTAAAGTTTTTACTTTTTTTTTTTTTTACTCAAGATTATAAAGTCATCAAGTTTATTCTATTCTTTGAAATGGCTGAGTGATGTATCTATCGTCAGAGGTGATATATTTGTAAATACTTACGAAAATACTGTGAGCAGCCAGATATCTTTGGTTTTGACATGTTTTATGTTTGACAATGGATTCTTCCAGACATAGCAGTTAGATGAAAGGCTTCCGTTTGTTAGATACAATACTTCTAACTTTATAACCCTGGAAATGAGAATGAAAGGAAGTTTTAACTAATTTCTGGCATTCTGGTCCCTTGGCCATAGTTGCTGAATGATTTACATGGTGTTTTGTCAGGCACAACTGATGAACAAAGCCTCATTTGCTGTGGGTACTCATCAAAAGCATTTGTGGGGTTAGGAACTTGCATTCTCAAAGAAAACACAATCCAGTTGGAACAAATGAAACCCCTAATTTAATAGATTCTAGACTTTTCTATTTAAATGATTTTTTTTTCTCATCTCTTTGATCAATTTATTCTCTTTTGGAAACATGGCCTGTTTCAGTGCCAAACTCAGATCATCTTTTAATATTCAGCATCCTTCGCATGGTCTCCATGTCTACAGAACTCTCCTGTTTCTCATTTCCCATCATTTCATGTCTAACAAACCTTCCTGTGTCCTTCAGAGATAATCAGCTCAGCGAGGTAGCTCAGGAGCCGCTGTAGTACTCTGTACTTTCCCGAGAACTGGCCAAAAGGCTGCTTTAAAAATAGCTCATGTTTTGTAAAAGGAATTACAGCTACAGCTTTTTGTCCTTACCTTCTTTGGAAGGTCTATAAATGACTTTCAAACTTGGTTTTTAAATAATAGAATAATACTGGAAAAAGGAGAAAAACAGTAAAATACATTGCTTTACACATTCATGGAGAAATTATTGACTTCTGTTCTTTATTTAACACTCAGCTCATGCCACACACTGTCTTGGGGAGGTAGGAAGAAGACTAGAACAAAGTTCATGCTCTCACTGTTTACCAGCCAGACAAATGAAGCCATGGCTACCATGTAGCTCAGTGTATCTCGTGATGCTTTCCCTATCCAAGGGACAGGAGGAACATATAAAGAAAGGATATGCAAACCGAAAGACAAGCAGCACTTCGAGGATGAGGAGGCGAGTATAAAAAGAGAATTCCAGATGGATCTGTGAGTAAGACAGGCTCCCCCATGCAGTGCTACAATTGATTACGTATCTTTTATAAGGTCATTGAGTGACTATGTTTAAGCCGGGTGTACCATACACTACACCAGAGTTACATTCCTAAATTGATTACCTCTGAAGAACATGGAAAGAGGCTTATTAGAAATGATGATGTAGAGAGGCTTGAGGACCAGTTAAGGATAACTTGAGAATCATGCTGAGGATGCAGTTTCCTAGTATAGGTGCAATTATATATTTATTAGTTTTCCATAGTGCTCTAGAGACAATATATGTCCCAATTAAATACCTAAATTCAAAGTTTGTTTCTGTTCTTTCCACTTGGATTTAGGCCACAGTGTAGGTGCTAGTTTTTATTTGGGATTTCTTAAGACTCTAACTCCCTTCCTTCCACTACCACCTTCCCCAAGGTAGGAGAGAAAGATAAGTGAGGAGAGGGGGCAGAGGTCTCTTTGGCTACTTCCAGCTGGTGAGGGTCGGTCCTCAGATTCTTTGAGGCAATATCCTCAGTCACCAGGATATCTAGCAGTCCAGCAAACAGAAACAGCAAACACAGGGGAAGGATGAACCAGCAATAACACTAGGAGCAGCAGCCTTCTTTTTTCTCAGAGTTTTCATGTCTTTCAAATCGTTCTCTCTCTCTCTCTCCCTCGGCTCTGGTATTTATACCCTTCCAGAGTCCTCAGAATTAAACTAATGGCAGCTGGCAAAGACCACACCCCTCTCTCAGCTGCATGAGGTAATTATCAGCTGTGGACAAACTAAAAGCAGCCCCATATCCCACACTTGGGATTAAAATAAAAACTTAACTGGGTTTTTAAAGAAACCAAAACCCCCATTATACCACAGAGCAGAAGAACCCATGTCTATAGCACTAAACCCAGGCAGGCTAGCTTGAGAAGAAGGAGACAGACTGGGCACTTGTGAGTTACAGAAATGCTATGTTGGAATAAAGGACGAAAAGATCATGGACATAGGTGTCCCAATCATGAGCCTTGACAAATCATAAATTCCAGTTTCATAAACCTGGAAAATGAAGGGATTGTATCAGATACTCTCTAAATTGCTCTTGCTAAGTTTTCTGTGATTATGAATATGAAAGCTGTGATGGGTATGTTGGATTTAGGCTCACCGTTCTTTTCCTTAGCTTTCTGAATGTTGGGTTAATAGGTGTATACCACCACGACCAGCTCTTTTTTTAGGGACATCATGTTCCCAGTTAGAACCATGCTTTCTCAGACATTATCTTCAGTGCCTCCTGTTAATGTTCCTAATAAGCACTTTTTTCTTCCTCTGGAATTCACGATGTAGTCCAGGCTGGCCTCTAACTCACAGAAATTAAAGGCATGCACCACTAGGCCAGGCTCCTTATAAGCAATTTCTTAATCCTTTTTTTTTTTTTTTCTGGGATTTTTTTTTAACTTTGTAACTAGAACCATGCTATTTATTGTCTGGAGTATTTTTTATTTTAAATTTTACAATTTTATTCATTATATATCCAGATCGAAGACCCCTCCCTCAACTCCTCTCAGTCCCACCCTCCCTTCCTCTTCTTCCCTATCCCCTTCTCCTAATCCACTGGAAAGGGGAGTTCTCCTCCTCTGCCATCTGTCTATAGCTTATCAAGTCTCATCAGGACAGCCTGGATCCTCTTTCTCTGTGGCCTGGTAAGGCTGCATCATCAGGGGCAAGTGAGCAAAGAGCAGAGCAGTCAACCGAGTTCATGACAGAAGCAGTCTCTGCTCCCCTTATCCAGGAACCCATATGGAGACTGAGCAGGGGGTCTGGGTCCTCTCCATGTATGGTCCTTGGTTGGTGCATCAGTCTCTGCAGTATCTGCTGGGCTCAGATTTTTTTTTTTTTATCTTTGTGGGGCTCCTGCCCTTCTGTGTCCTTCTATCCATCCCTTTTTTCATAAGATTCCCTGCACTCTGCCCAAAGTTTGGCTGTGAGTCTCAGCATCTGCTTAGATCCCAAAACTATGGAACGCTTCATGAATTTGCATGTCGTCCTTGTGCAGGGGCCTTGCTAATCTTCTTTGTTTCATCCTGATGTTAGTATATGTGCTGCCAAAGTGAGCACTTGTCTGGAGTATTTTGATAATTTCTTTTATTACAATTTTTGTCTCTGAGCTCTTGAAGATGGAAGAGGAATCTGAGGCAGAGTGAAGTAGCAGCTTTCTGTTTCCTGCAGAGTAACATTCACATTCCTTAGTGTGGAATTTAGAAACCCTACAAATGCTCCAGCCAGTTCTTCATGCTCATATCCCAACACTTCAGCCACATACCTTTGCTATAGCATGTGGCTTCATTGAATGAGCTTTTAGATTTCAGAGACTCTTGTCTCCTCCCTCTGTTGGGCAAGTTCTTAGCTTTCTATCCTGTACAATCTCTTGTATAAGACTCTTGAAATGGTACCTCCATATCTTTAGCCATTTTCATGATGTCTTTCACTAAATGTCCATGTTTTAAACACTCAAAAACTTTCTTTTTCATGTCACTTAGTTTTAAAACACAATTTGACTTTTTTTTTTTTTTTTAAAGACTGACAAGTAGGAACAGGAACCTATTAATGATAATGATTTGAACTTTTCAATAAATGGTTGCTGATTCCTTGGAAAATTTCAGAATGGGGACCAGACCCCAGCAAGGCCCATCACAGAATAAGAGGTTTGGAGCAGCAGGTCTGTGGAACCTCCAGGGATGAGTTCAACTGTGTGGCCAATGATGTGTTCAAACATGCCCACCTTGATAAATGATTTAATTAAGCATGAAATGCTAGAAAAAAAACCTAAAGCCCCTTTATAGTTATCAGAGATATTACATTTTCCTGAATTGTCATAAGTGATGAAAACACTCAGACTTTGATCAGTCAGAAATGCAGGTGATGTCTGAATGACAAGTTTGTTAGAAGATTAGGACCTTACCCTGTGGAATCTGCACTACTCCTGGGCTGCTAGCCCTTGGAATGAATTTCAGTACACTAGCTGGGGTTGAAACCAAATGAAGTCAAAGGAGTAGGACTGTTTGATGATAGCAAAAATTCAGTCATTTTCAGTGGAAGTCTTAAATGTGTTCTAAAATCAAATGGAACCAACTCTGTTTGAAAACAAGATAGTCCTTGCCAAATAAGAGGATCTAAGTGTTCAATGTTTAAGGTATCATTTTTTTTCCCTTTAAGAAAAGGTCCCATTCTATAGCCCAGACTGTCTGAAAATCATTATGGAGCCCCACCTGGTCTTGAATTTATGGCAATCTTCCTGCCTTAGCTTCCTGTACTTTTGGGATTACAGGCATGTGCCCACAATGCCCTGCTTGCATCTTCTTTATTATATATGTTTAAGAAATTACTTTGTTGGCATTCAAGATTAATGAGTCTTTCTAACTACAGTCTTTGTTTTGCAAATCAATAGCTGGTTTATTTTCACTCACCATTTTCCTTCTCTATCAGCATATAAATTGCCTGCCATACAGTTGCAGAGAGGCAAATCTGTTTCATGGTGGAGATGAGCTTCCATAATTTTTGCCAGAGAAAGGAAGAAACTCAATGATTACATAGTTCTGCTCAGACTAAGCATATCGAAAAACTCTAGATATTCACAGAAGAAAGTATGATATCTCCTGTTCTCATTTTGCTTTGGGTATTATATTTTGTCATTTGTCATAAAAACTGGCTTTTTACCTCTTTGCAGCAAAGCTTGATGGCATCTGATTTTACCTGCCTTTATGGTGGTTGCATGGCTTCTTTTCAGCAGCTATCAAATTTTCCTTTCATTTTATCATCCTGATTTTTATTTCAACTTTGCTTTTATAGCATGTGCACTGTGCTGACCTTTGTGTGCTCTTACTTTCAACCCTACGAGGTCACCACATCATCACCATAGGAACGACAATGTGCTTTCTTAGCTCACTTCCTAGCATGGAGGTTTTCTTTTTTGTAAAGACTTCAAAAGCAATCTTCTAAGAAATGTCAGATCAACCAATTAAATCTCTGCCAGCAAGGTCTCTTAACCCAATGTCCTTTCTTTTACTTTTATTCTATTACTCATGGAAGGAAAATTTGCTTAGCTTTGTCTTAACCTTGTATTTTGCACATCACTTAATACTTATTGAATTGCTTCCTGCTGGATGAATAGTTCGCGTCTTTTGAAATAAGTGGCAAATCTTTGTACTCAGTGATTGAAACAAGAAAAGAAGTATTAAAATTCATCTACCAGATGTGTTTTGAAAATCTCATTTCTTTATAAAGGTTGATTGAGTTTCTCAGTTAATGTTTTTTCCTTTGCACATTATGATTAGCTGAAAAAGAAAGGGTAAATTTCACATAATGTAATTGCTTCTCCAGGTGAAATTCCTAAATTTTGGTATGAGGGTCCTGTAGAGCCCTTTATTTATAGCTGAGTGGTTTCTCTGGTTACTGAAGAACATTCTATATGTTCTAGGGTAGCAAGATAACACATACAATCCTGTCCATTTAAATTCTAGTATGCAGAGTGGGTTTACATGCAGCAAAGTAACTTTTCAATTTAAACTCAAAGCTGATATTGTTGGGTGTTTTTCTAGTTAAGGTTCTAATCTTCTGGGACTGTACTCCTGTCTCTGAATTTCACGTAGGATCTATATTCTTTTTTATCTTTTGTGTGAAGAGAGGATAAATGTCAACAATGACACAATTTAATTCAAAGAAAGCCTGAAAATTTATAAACAACTCGATTTGTCAAGTCAAAAGAATGTGTAGAACGTTGTAAAAATTTTTAGTATTTTTTTCCCAAACAGAAATTCATCACTCTTTTTCTTCAAACCTCTAGCCATATCAGGTGCACAGCTATGATTATAACTGGTTTGTCTTCTAATATTCTAGGGAGGGATGAGTAACAAAGGATATACATATAAAGGGTAATGAGTTTCAGTCTCAGGGTCCATAAGGGAGCAGGTCAGTTGACAGCTGCAGTGCTTTTCAACTGTTGCCAGATTTTCTTCTCATCTTTTGTTTGTTTAAAGAGAACTTAGAATTATAGGTTTTGATGTAATTTTTCTTTTATCTAGATAAAACCTTTCTGTGGACGAGTTTTCAGTCTTTTCTCTTTCTAATTTATATAGTTCACACAAAATCTTGACTTCTGTTTTTTGTTTGTCTAACTTCTCATCTTTTAGATCAGATGACAAACTCCCTCCCAGAGCACACTGGTCTCTCTAGGTTAGCTTTCTGGCTGGGTTGGTCCAGCAGTGGCTTGCACTTCCCGCAGCAGCATGTGACTGTCTCTGCATTACAATCTTAGTGAGGCCTGGGCACATCACTGTCTTTTCACTTCACTCATTTGCTCAACAAATATGTAATGGCCATCTCTCTGTGTACTGATTTGTAATAGGTTTTACTGCTTTAGCAAAAAGCATGTAGAAAACTTCCCTACGTTTGGGGAGCTGGACATGAAGATTAATAATATACTTACATAGTATGTCATGTATATCTCTCTTATTAGGAAGAACTAACTTCCTCCTTTATTCACAAGCTTCTACCAGACAGGACAGGCAGATAGTGTTTCTTGTTGAAAAAAGTCAGTATCAAATCCTGATAAATTAGTGATAAATTTTATTTTCCCTGAACTGTTGCCAACTTCCTCCTCCCTCCATTAAATTTTAGCACCATGAGTTTCTGTTCCTTGCTTTTGAAGATTCACAGATCACTCTATCTTTTCTTTACATCCTAAGAATAAATTGTTGTTCTTTTGGGGTATTCTGCTCTGGCTTAAAGTGTGCTGATGTTGAAATTATTTTCAAGTGTCTATGGCCATGAGGCAGAGGAGATTCATATAGGCGCTTTTGTTCTTTTGACCTCTTTTCTAGCTTTTCCCAGAGAGAAAAAGACAGTATGATGCACTCCTCTTTTTCTGAGAGATGGCCCTGTGTATCCAGAAGTAGCTACTTGTCAAGTTGCTTTATTCTCATGTATTATTTCTGTTCTTTCCTTCTTTCTTTCCTTCTTTCTTTCTTTCTTTCTTTCTTTCTTTCTTTCTTTCTTTCTTTCTTTCTTTCTCTCTCTCTCTCTCTTTCTTCTTCTTCTCTCTCTCTCTCTTTCTTTGTTTTTTTTTTTCCTACCCAAAAGAGAGGTGTGCTTTGGTTTCCTGAGTCAGGATCCAGGTTTGAACTCTTCCAACTTGGCAAAAGCTCCTGGCACGTTTTCCCCCTGAACTCTCTGGTTTAGTTTGCCGAGCTGCTTGGGGACATCTGCAGCTGAAGAACAATCCGTCTCTCCTGGGGGCCGGGAAAGTTACACGTGACTTCTCCTAGTGTCTCATGACCCACTGGGTGTTTGTAGCAGACAAACTATCTTCGGCTCTGGAGAGTCTCAGACCATAACAACTTGCCTTTTGAGGCTTGGGCACACGCGCCAGGCAATCTGCAGTCTGCTTACATAAATTCTGTGACTCCTTCCACTCTGCCAAGACCAGCTGGCCGTTACTGATCCTGTAGCTTTTGTCCACCCTAGCTCAGTCTATACTATAGCATAAATATTGACTGGGGTGGTTTACACCAAATTTCATGGAATTGAACTACAGAAGAGAAAGTGAAATGTGGGACATTTTTTTCTTTTATTATTATATTATTATTATTTATTAAAATTTATTCAATTTTTATCCCTGATTTGGCTCCCTCCCTCCCAATTCCACCTTCCCTCCCTCTTCTTCCCCTATGCCCCTCCCCTATTCTACTGATAGGGGAGGTCCTTGTCCCCTTCTATCTGACCCTAGACTATCAGGTCTCTTCAGGACTGGCTGCATTGTATTCCTCTGTGGCCTGGCAAAACTGCATCTCCCCAGGGGAAGGTGATCAGAGAGACAGCCTCTGCTCTCCTAAATAGCTCGCTTAAAGTTGCTCAGCAATCTGAAGCCATTTTATCTGACTCCCCTGTCTTGTGTTACCTGCATCTTCCAAACTGGGAGACAAAACAAGTTACTTAAGGACATTTTTCTTGAGCTGTGCTTTGGATGCTTGAGTCTGGAGAGAACCTGTCTAGGCCAGCAATGGGAAGATGTCAGCCTCACCCCCATGCTGGGGTTGTTTAGAACATAGAACCCTGAGTCT